TATATATATATGTACAGTGGTAGCTCGGTTCACGAACTTAATTTGTTCCATGATTCTGGTCGCGAACCGAATTGGTCGCGAACCGAATCTAACTGTGATCAGACCGCGATCTCAACTAGAGGAAGCCACGACCATGTGTCAGAGCAGGGAAGATGGCTGCGGTTGTGTTTGTCACCTGATGCGGAGTTTGCGAACGGAAGCAGAATTTTGCCGAACTTCGTGTTCACGTGCCGAATTGTTCGCGAACAGAAACGTTCGTGAACCGAGGTACCACTGTATGTACAGTATAAGTGTGTATATATATTTGTAGTAACCCTAGTAAAACATGCTTTTTTCAGCAGTACTAACACATGGCAGTACCAACCATAGTCAAAATGCACTCCAGTCATACCAGTTATAAGATTACTTCTAATTGGTTGCTATGGGTTACTGCCCTTTGTGCCACCTTGTTAAATCCTGACTGCACTTGGCAGCCTCTGCACTCCTGGCTATATTTCTAAAACTCTAGCTGTCGACAACTGTGATGTTAATAAGCCAGGACATTGAGGTGTGAGGCCCAAAACTAATGTTCTCCAGTGAAACTTCCAACCAGACAAAAATGTGATGTGACAGTGTATTCCAGAAGGTAGCACACCTCTTGGTGTTCTAATAGAATAAACAGGAGGCAATTCATGGACTATTTCCAGTGGGTAGAAGACCCAGTTGCAGCTCCCTCACACAAATCTGCCTTATTATCTGACCATAGAGTGTTTGTGGAATTGCTGTTGGGTGCAGGCAGTAAAGTGCTATGTATTTTCTCATCACAGCATCAGGTACAGCTAAACTGTGTATTTTTTTTATTTTATTTTTTTCAAACATCAGGTGTTTAATTTATGTCTTAAATCCCACCTCAACTAATCATTTAGAGCCGGAGCACCGAGAGTACAAAAGAGGTTTATCTCCTTATTAGTGCAGAGCAAAGCATATATTTTCTCTCCATTTACTGTATTTCTTTGAAAGATTACAAACAGGTGATGCCTAATCCATTAACACAGCGGAACCCACAAAGTGTACCTAATGTGTTTATGGTGAGTGACTTACTGGGTGAAAGCTAGCGGAGCCTGATCCTTCCAGGCACTTAATTGGATGCCTCAATGGTCCAAAATTAAAAAGCTGCCTTTTTGACACACAAGTCATCTGCAGATTTATAAGAGCTTAACAGATGTCATTCACGTCAGTTTTGCAGCTTATGTTGCTGATGTAAAAAATTCCAAGAGAGATGAATATATATAAAAAATAAAATAAATGTTTTTGTTTTGCACTAGCCCACAATTTAAAACCTTCAAGTGTCGGAAATAAAAAAAAAAGAAATACAAATATTTTAATCTGGGAAGCAGGAAAAAAAAAGTGCAGGGAGTATTGGAGAAAGAGCCACTTTATTATGAATGTTACTAAGTGAGCTATTAACCTCCCTCCCCAAGCCCTCTCCTATAGAGTTTCATACATTTACAGGTAATTAGTGATGTCCTTAGTTGAAGTGTTTGGCAGAAAGGGGACCACAAACCACTAATCGCTTTCGTGTGCATTATTCAGCCTTGGCTGTTTTTACAGGGAGCCCAGTAACAACTGTTGTAACCATTGCCTGGTGAATACACTTTACAATGTTATACTCACACTTGTAAGAGAAGGTGGGGGGGTTACTGTCCCCAGCTGCACCAGGACAAGGCTGGTCCCAACCTGCAAGACTGCCTTTTCTTCTGCTTTGGCTAAATCAATCTGTTGACAGCTAACTCATTTTCCCCCTGAAAACTTATTAGCTATTCAGCCTCACAAAACATTCTGAGCCCTCTTTTGTCCAGAAGAGGACTCCAAACCCCATCATTAGCGCTTATTACCCTGAGCAGTTTGACAGCCTCATAGACTGCTTACAAGACGTCCCATTCATGTCTGCCCAGATCTGCTCCAGCTCTGAAAAGAAACGGAAATATTCCACCATGTTTCGAGCTGAATAGAAAAGGGGGGTAAATGGAATAGGGAGGGGGGTACGCTCCCTCCATTCTCCTCCACATTACTTTTGACACAATATTTTTTTCTTTTTGTCTAAAAAAAAAAAAAAGACACACACGTACACATACACACTCACAAGGCAGAGCACACAATGCATACTTTGACAACGTTTCGGCAATTTGCTGAACTGTTTACGGTCAACAGCAATATGCTGAAACACAAGGAGGGACAATGCAATGTTTTGCAAGGGACGGAGAATTAAGTTTGGGATCTTTTCAAAACGACACCAAAAAAAAAAAAAGCAATTATAAAAGCAGCAGATTATCTATTTGTCTGTGAAAGAATAGAAATATGTTTTTGCCTTCTCCATTTTTTAAACTATACTCTTTCTGATTGAAATACTTTTATGAATATGTCATTTAGGAATATTAAAGAAAAGAACATTTGAGAAAAAGTGGACCTGGCACCATGAAAACCATGGATGGCAACCTTTAAAATGACACAAGCAATCTTGTTGCTATGGACAACAGCATCACTTTTGATCAAGGTCCAGGATTCATAAATCAACCGTTTAGAAAGCATGCTTCTCTTTTTTGTATTGTAACTGTGCTGAAAATTTTGATTGCAATAAAGAATTAAAATTACAAAAAGAAATAGAAAGCATGTACTTATTGTTATCTCTGTTTCAGTTTGGCACCTGGATTGGCAAGTCTTCCAAATGATCATGAATCTGACCAAATGCTTTACATTTAATTACCATCCCTCTTAAGCTTGCAGGAGAGCCCACCTGCAAGCTTTTTTTCCCCCACAGTGGTCTACATATTTAATAATTATTTTACAGGATTTATTTATACAGGATTGAATGAAAATAAGATGCAAGAATCTAGCTATGCAGTGACTGCGGATTCCTCAGTCCTGAATGATATATATTTTCTTTGTCTTTCCGTCTGACTAAGCATCCTTCCATCCAGAAACACATTGGTGGGAGCACGCTGCTGATTAGCACGCTGTTATAACAATAAACAATATGGGGGAAATGGATGGCGTCGAGTCTTTAGTAAATGCACTGAAATAAACAAGGTTTGTTAATTAATTGAGAGGTTCAAGTAGAAATAAGATCAACCTGCAATCAAATCATCAAATCATAAAAATAAACAATACATTTTTTTTTTTTAATGGATGGAAAGGATTTAGGAAGATAGGTGGAAGAAATCTGAATATGTTTCATTATATTGGTATTGTAATAATTATGTTTGTTTTGTCATTTGTAATTGCGGCAGCGGCCCCAGTTCTAGCAAAAGGCATAAACGCCAATTATATATATATATA